TTCCGGTTTCCATTACTGGTGTTTCTAGACTCTTGGGTGGTTTTGCTGTGGCTGCAGAGCCCCTTCCCATGCATTATCGGAGAAAGAGCCCCAGAGGGGAGGCCCCACCCACCTCTAGAATAAGCAGCTGGGTCCCTTCCCTTTGCTATCCTGAGCTGAGCTGCCCAGTCCTGTCTACAGTCCCCTCCCTTCTGTGTCCAAGAGTCTGGCCACTGCCTTCTTGTGACCTTCCATGAAGCAGCGATCATGGGACAAGAGGGGAATTTCAGGGATATGAAGTTGGCTGGCCTCTTTTGGTTCTTACCAAGGTTAGATTGTAAAATGCCAGAAACTGGGCAAACTCTTGGATCCCTATTTGTGGTCTTTAAATTTTTCTTCATCTTTTCTCACCGAGTCTGCAGACAATGCCATAGTAAAATAGATACTGGAATATCTGGTTATTTTTTTATGTAAGTTTGTCAGTTATTTGTGCTAACTGTATAGTTATCCAAATCAGTTGGGCCTGTGTGTTCAGGATCTGAAAGAATAAATCTGGGCCCCCAAACCAGCGTGTTGTGGACAAATGGGGTTTTAAAAATGTATATCTCCCTCCTACCAGTGGCCTGGTCTTTAGAAATACAGCTTCTTGTGCTTTTAAATGTTTTGCTGTTGGCAGGTACTGGTACCGACCAGTTGTAGAACCTGTCTCAGGCTGAGAAAATTATTTTGTTGTCTTGAAGAATTTTTAACACATGTGAGTGAGATGCTGTACATGTCTTCCTATTTTCCCTCAAATAACCCACCAGGCCTCAGTCGGTAGGACTGTATTTTGTGGTATTTTTGAAAGCCTCATATTTTTCCTTTTCACCTCTGGAATCAGTGTTTTCCTTGCTAGTTTTCTCTCCTCGCCCCGTCCCAGCACCCTGTTCTGTCTCTTCTCCCTGCTTGTTTTTCCTTCTCTGCTGTCTCTTTCCCTTCCATCTTGTCCTTTCTGTTTGTAGCTCTGGGCCCTGCTTGGTGCGCGTGCTCTCTCTCTCCAGGTTTGCCCTTTGCCTCTCTTACTGTACCTCTGTGGCTCCTTTAGTCTTTTTTGGGGGGGTGGGGGTGGGGGCACATTTCCCCTAATGATGGCTGAAGCCAGCAGGGATATTTGAGACTTGTTTCATGAAAACTGTTGATGTTTATGGCCAAATTCTATATTCTCAACAATAAAAGAGGGAGACCTTTATTTCACAAATGCAGAAAAAATCCTTTTGGAGAACGAAAAGCCCATGTAAATTTCAAAAAGTCATATTTCTGGCTTCTGGATTTTTCTTTTAAATAGGGAAAGTACCTTTTCCCCAGAATCTTCCTTTTCTTTCTTTCCCCTGTTGTCTTGGGTTTCCCTTTTTGCTCACTCTTAGCATCACTGGCTTCCTTTCCCGTTGGTTGCTTTTCCCTCTTTCCCTTTCCCTTCTTCCTCCCTCCTTTCCCTCAAGGGCCTGCCAGTCCCCTCACTTCCTCTGTCTCCCAAGTCCTTACTCTTGCTGTGACTCAGACCTGGAGAAGCCCTGATTCATCTGAGGGTTCTTGGGTCTTGGCTCTGGTCCTGTGTGCTGGGTGCAGAGCGGTCTGATCTGAAGGGGGGTGGAGGGGAGAAAGGAAGGAGGCTGGGATGGGGACAGGTAATCTTCCAACAGGAGCCACGACTCTCTCCTAACAAAAGGGGGACAGTCCCCTTTTGTCTGGGGCTCTTGAGGGGCGTGTCTGGGCTGGCGGCCACCCCTAGTGGCCTTGGAGCAGCAGGAGGAGTTGTCGGGGGCTGTGCTTGAAGTGTTTCTAATGGAACCTGAGCAACTCTAAGGGGAGACTGATCTTCTCCCCTTCCCAGGCTTTCTGAATACCTCGCAGTTCTTTCAGAACGGCCGCCCTGCAGGGAGTAGGATCAGAGAGAATGCTGCCTAAGCTGCCTAAGGATCCTCTGCCTACCCCTTCAAGGTTATGCCACTAGCTACTGAGGGATGGTTGACAATTGTCCTAGGTGTCCCCCCCCCCACAGAGCAGGGAGGGGGCCTGTTGCTCCTGTGCAGGGCTCTACAAATGGGCCCTGAGGATCCTTGGAGATGCCCCTCCTCAGCCACTGTTCTGTCAGATCTCTTTGTCAGTTCACCAACCTTTGATCCCTCCCTTTCTGCCTCCTTCCCATGGAGTGATTCCTGCACCCCATCCTGTTTCCCAGATTTCCACGGATCCTTCCATGGGCATCTCCTAGCTGTGGGAATGTGTTCTCCCCCTTCCCTCACCCAACCTGATCCAGCTGTACCTCCAGATTCTGATTCAACCCCTGTAAAGCACATCTCTTTTACCTAGCACAGTGGTCCTTGGAAAGGAACATGCCAGGATTCACCAGGAGACTCATGCTGGCCATTTTCTGTTCAATGTCTGATATTTAGCATAATCAGAATACCAGAAAACACCCCCTGTGCCAAATACAAACTCACTTGCAGTTTTTATGGCCTCATCTTGACTTTAAAGAGTAAAATTGCTTTCTCAAGGTGGAGAGGCAGGGGCAGGGTTCCCTACCTTATGTTGCTGAGCTAATGTGCTTGGCTGGTTGGACCAAAGCTGGTTATTAACAGGACATGAATTATTGAACAACACCCTAAGCGGCCTGTTCCTGAGGGCACCTGCCTCTTGCACTGTTACCTCTGTTTATCTTGAGGTCAGTTATGAGCTCACTTCACTTGAGTCTGCCATTTAGGATGAGGGGTCCCAGGTGCCAGGGTGGCACCTCTCCCATTATCAGGCTTCAGTGCCAGCCCCGTGCTGGATGTTTTGTTCTGGAACACCCCAGGTTCTCTTCCGGGAACCTTTCTGATGAACATAAAGGCCACTGAGTGCAGGGTTTCAGATCAGGAAGAAAGGGGCACGAGTGAGCAGTGACCTTTTTTCCTTTGCCAGCTGAGGGTTGAGCTTGGAGAGAGGGAAGCTGTAGGGATGGCTGGAGCTGAGCAGGTCAGATCACTCCCTGTCTTCGTGGACGCCCTTCTCATCTGCTTTCCCTTCCTTCATAACAGTCTCCTTCTTACTATGTTTCTAAGGCCTAAGGCATGGCTGCCCTGTAGCCCTCACTGGAGAGATCCCCCAAGGAGGGGGGCTCCACCTCCCACCACTTCTCACCCTCCTGGCCTGATGGGGGAAGGCCTGGAGTTGGAGACCAGGAGCAGGGGCCTGTCTGGTGGGTCTCTTCTCTGTGATTGGTTTCCCCAGGTGTCCGAGTTCCCTGATGGTGCCCTGTGCTTCCATCTCACCGTGTCCTCTCTTAGCTCCCTCCCTTTCATTCGGGTTTCCCATTTTACGCTTTTGCATCTTATACTTTATTTTGGGTCCTTTCGTCTGAATTGATATGGGGACAGCTAAGAAAACTAACCTTCCACTAAGTAGAGAGGGTAAATTTGGAGAAAGCAAAGAATTCAACATTTGTGGGGGGTGGGCATCGGTAAGATGCCTCTGTTCAGAGGTACAGACCGTCCATCTTCCTTTGTCGCTTCTCTCTGGGGCTGGCTGTTGTGTTTGTGGCTGCGTGTAGTGCTTGTCAGCGGAGTGCTGTGACAGGAGGCTATTTTAATAAACTGTTGCAGTTCCGCGAGCCGAGCTGCACTGCGTTGGCATCCCTCGTCACCACTAATGGAGCGTGCGTGGCTGGGTGTGGGCTGGGGAAGGGGGGAGGCGGAGGGTGCTGGCCCCTTGTCTGGGAGTGCTCCTGCCTCGGGAGCAGTCAGACCTGGGGGCCGAGGGGTGGCTGCGCCTGGGCATATAGGGTCCTGCCCCAGAGGTGCCTCTGGCAGGGACACTTTCTGAGCTGTTTCTTTTCTGTTCATAGCACTGCCGGCTCGTGGCTCATGTGTGTGTATGTGTGTGTGTTGTGTGTGTGTGTGTGTGTGTGTGTGTGTGTGTGTGTCCAGGGAGAGAAACTTCCAGTCGCCTCTGTGTGCGCCATAAATTAAAAAAAGAAAGAAAGAAAGAAAAAGAACAGAACTAGAACCAGAAAAAGAGTGTGCGGGCCTGAGAGAAAGACTGAAACCAAAACAGAGAGAAGGCGCAGCTGCTTCCCCAAGGCCTTCTGGGGCTCCCGCCCGCCAGCCCGCCCGGAATCAGGCCTTTATTTATTTATTTTTCTGGCTTAAAAAAAATTCTGTGTCTTCTTCAATCCCATTCCTCCCACCCCTCCACCCCCAAATTTGCTGGATGGCTACTGCCAAATGGACCCGAGTGGGAGCCTGGAATGAAAAATTCATAACTGCTGGACTTTGCTTGTTCATTAGACGTGAACTTGTCGATTGGGCAAATTGTTTTTGGTCTCCAACTGCCGGGGGCTCTCCCCACCCTCCCGGCTCGCCCAGCTCCCTCCTCCCCTTGGACGCAGCCATTGGCTGCGCTCGGAGGTCTCTTTGCCAAATAGGTCGCTCTCTCTCTCTCCCTCTCTCCCTCTCCCTCTTCCTCTCCCTCTCTCCCTCTCGTTCTCTCCCTCTCCCTCTCTTCTCCCCCCCCTTTCCTGGCTTGGCACGAGCAAATGGATGGGGATTGAGCATGAAAGGGGAGAGAGAGAGGGAGTTTGAGAGAGAAAAGGAGCAACAAAACCCCCCAAACCCAGCCAGCGCTCGTGTACACACACACACACACATACACACATACACATGCACACTCACACACGCACACTCACACCCCCATCCCATCCGCGTCCTCCCTGGATCCTCGGTCTCTCCCTCTCCCTCCCCCTCATTCCCTCTCTCTCTTTTGCACGCGTCTGCCAGCCACAGTCTGCAGCCGGTCAGAACTCGTCCTCTTCCCCGGGAATCTGCGAGCTCCCCCTTCTCCTCCGATCGGGTGGAGGGAGGCAGCTCGAAGTTTACACCCCTGTGCTGCTGCCAAAGCCGAAAGCCTTTTTCTTCAGCTGCCGCTATTTCTTCCCTCCTGGTTTTTGTTTTTGTTTTTGTTTTGCACGGGGGTGGGTAGGGTGCGTTGTTGTGTGTGGGTGGGGGGAGATGGAGGTTGGTTTTGATTTTTAAATTTTGAATATTTTTGTTTTCTTTTTTTTTAACTGAAAGAGTATGCACAGGGGGAGAAATTGAAAAACAAATTTTTTGTTGGCTTTTGTTTACCTGGCGTGTGTGGCAACCAGCTCGCTCCCTCTCTCTGCTTGCTATCCCTGACCTTTCTTTCTTTTTGCTCCTTTTCAAAAAAAAATATTAATTTCCCCCTTCTGTGCAATGGAGTGTGGGGGGGCAGAGGGGGAAGGGTTTGAGAATCCACCCAAGCCCGGCCCCTATTCCCCAGAACACCAATAATAACCCCCTTTAAAACATTTACCTTCCTCCCCTGCTCCTCCCCCTCCCCCCTCCCCCCACCCGCCCCCAACTCACAACTCTGTTGAGTCCAGAATCTCAGAATCGGGCGTTGGGCTTTGCCGGGTGCTTCAGATCAATGGTAATTATTTAATTTTCTCCAGTTTTATTTTTGTAAGCAGAAATCAGTTATTATTTAAACTTCAAACAAGCAAAAAAAAAAAAAAAAGCAAAAGCTGAGAGCCCGGCCTTCTGTCACCTGACTGAGTGGAAAGAGGGTGAAGGGGTCGTGGGAGGCTGGGGAAGGGGCCGCAAGACGACCCATGCAGCTTTTAACCCTAATGTGGCTGAGACAACCACCTTATTTGTGTTAACAAGAAGTGTTTTTGTGCATTATGACTGTGATTAACATTAGTATTGATGTCGATAACAAAGCTGAAATCACATATTTAGGATTTAGGTCTGATTTTAAAAATGCTGGGGTGGATATTCCAACTGGATCAGGAGAAAAGAAAATGAAAACAGCCTGAGGAGAGGGAATCCAGAGCCGTTTCCTCGATCGCTAGTGGATGTCATTTTCTGTCTTCTTGGGGGCAGCCAAAAATCAGCCAGTGTTGGGACAGGCGGTGGTCCCGTGTGCCCCGCGTGCATCCACGGTCATCTGTGCAGACGGACTCGGCGCTGGGGCGAGCTGACACGAGTTCCCGGCTGCGATAGAACATGGAATGTCATGGGCGCGACAGAGCTTGGCGGGGATACCAACAGCGTGTGTGTGTGGACGGCAATGTTGTCTGTGCGCGTGTGAGGCAGAGAGAGAGAGAGGGAGAGCGAGAGGGAGAGAGAGAGAGAGAGAGAATAGGTGTGTGGACAGGCTCCCGGTGGCTCTGTCTGGCTGCTGAGGCTGAGATGGGAGCAAGTGGCTGGCGAAGCTGGTGGTGGCTTCAAACCACACTTTTGTAGAACAATCGCAAGAGAAAATTGTTGGGGGGGGAGGGAGGAGGAGGAGGAGGAGAAAGAGGCTTTCCTTGTACCCCCCTTCTAACGCCGCTTTTCTCCTTCTCTTTCCCCTCATCCCGTCTTCCCCTCCTCCCGTCCTCCCGCGCCCCGCATGCTCCCGGCTTGCCGCCTGCAGGATGAGTTCCACCCGTTCATCGAGGCGCTGCTGCCTCACGTCCGAGCCTTCTCCTACACCTGGTTCAACCTGCAGGCTCGGAAGCGCAAGTACTTCAAGAAGCACGAGAAGCGGATGTCGAAGGACGAGGAGCGGGCGGTGAAGGACGAGCTGCTGGGCGAGAAGCCCGAGATCAAGCAGAAGTGGGCATCCCGGCTGCTGGCCAAGCTGCGCAAAGACATCCGGCCTGAGTTCCGTGAGGACTTTGTGCTGACCATCACCGGCAAGAAGCCCCCCTGCTGCGTGCTCTCCAACCCCGACCAGAAGGGCAAGATCCGGCGGATTGACTGCCTGCGCCAGGCCGACAAGGTGTGGCGGCTGGACCTGGTCATGGTGATTTTGTTTAAGGGGATCCCCCTGGAAAGTACTGATGGGGAGCGGCTCTACAAGTCGCCCCAGTGCTCGAACCCCGGCCTGTGCGTCCAGCCACATCATATTGGCGTCACAATCAAAGAACTGGATCTTTATCTGGCTTACTTTGTCCACACTCCGGGTAGGTGGCTCTTAACCTTTCTACCCCTGTTTTATTTGCTAGCATTTATTCTGTTTATTGTTCCTCTTATTTCTAACCCGTACCAGGCCATGGGCCTAACTGCACACCTGTCCTGGAGGGCCTGTGTTTTGTCTAATGTGCCTTTCTGCCTCTTCTTCTCTTGTCTCCCTCTCTGTCCTCTTCCTCTGCTCCCTTGCCTTTATACCCACTGTGCGCATTTCTATTTCTGGAGGACTCATCTGATCAGAAGGATACTCTGTGTCTTAGGACGGTTCAGGCTGCCCCCAGAATTATCGGTGATGGCGAGTTTGAGACAACAGCAGCACCACCAACAACCAGTATTTACTCTTATTTAAATTGAATCAGAAGAAGTATTAGGGGGTTAGGTGCTGGCTTTCCTGTGGCTTTATGTCAAGTTCCAGGAAAAGCTAGATTTGGCACAAGCGGGGTGGGCAGCAGTTCGGTGGAGAGAGGAGCATGTGAAATCCCCGCACATGAGACTGAACAAATAGAGAACAGGAGAGAAGGCAGCAGCGGGCAGATTCTGAGGCCCAGATGCCCAGGCGAGAGCTGTTTTGGCTGGGATTTGGCTATCAGAGAGCATAAGAGTAATTTGATTTTATAGAGAGAGTGAAAACAAGCGGGAGATTCCTTGAGCTCTGTCCCTCACCTGGTCTCTCTGCAGAAATGGGAAGGCCCCTGGGTGTGTGTGCTGCCCAGCCGGCCCAGGCTCCTGTGCTGGGGGTGGAGAGGCTTTCCTGAGGAGCAGGCCTGGCAGGGAGCTTCGTTGCTGTGGAAAAGGTCTTAAACAAACAAACAAACAAAATCTGTAAAATTTCCTTTCTTTTTGTGTTCCAAGTAGTTCCACTTCTCTTGGCTTTTCTAGTCTCACTCTGCATTTTGGGTTGGGCTGGTTTAGTTCTCCTCTTCTGATCCTTTTCATTTTTTCCCCCTTACCCTTTCCCTTTTTATAATTTCTTTCCGCTTTTGTTTTCTTACAAATTGAAACAGAGATGGCTGGTTAATTTTTAGCCTCCACTCAGCTACGCCCAATTTACTGCCGCCTTTGAAACCTAAACGGGCGGCACTCTGTGATTAAGCAAGGCAGAAGTGTGTTTACATTATGCCCAACCAACTTGTAATGAGAGGGCTACCGAGCCTCTCTCTCTGTATGTGTGTGTTTCTTTCCTCGCCACCATTCCAGTGTTCTTTCCCCTCTCATTTCCCTTTTTCCTCTCTTTATGTGAGTGTGAGAATGTGACTTCACTTCAACTCTCCAAAATGTTCTTTCCTGTGAGTATGCGTCTCAGTGTTTTCCTTCCTGTTCATTCACAAAAAAGAAAAAGCCACTCACAACTGCTGTGGTCACCCCCTTGCCTCTTTGGGAAGTTGGGAGGATTGATATGACTGGATCCAGAAATAAATTGGGAGGGGGGTTGCTTTTGGAACATAATCTCTCCTGCCGAGAATGAGCGCTGAGAGTGTGTTGGAGAACTCTGGGTAGGAAAAGATGGCATTTGAGGTCTCTCTCTTACTCATTCTCTCTTGTTCTGAGAGGTGGCTTTGGTAGGCTGGCTGGAGGCTGTGGATGCCACCCTGAACCCTGCCTGCTTCTGTGGATCTTTCTGGGCCTGCACCTGGCACTGTGTGACCATTAGGACCCCTTATACTGAAGGGCCAATTGCCAGTTCTTTCCCCTCTCCAGCTTGGATTTTTTTTTTTCTTTCATCTTTTTTCTTTTTGGAAAAGAGACTAAATGGGGAGGGTGTCTCTCATTCTCTGTCAGCATAGCAAGCCACAGTTGGGAGGGTGTGTGCCTGGTGATGTTAGAGGAGATGAGGGGCGGCCAGCAGCGGCTGCTTAGAACCTGGAGCTTGCTAGTGTGTCCATCAGATAGCTCTTCCTCAAGAGGACTCTACACCTTCCAGTTTTAGAACTTGGATCCCAGGGGTATCTGCAAGGAAAATCAACACTCCACTTCTTCTCCTCTCCCCTGTGTCTGGACCCTTGTAGCAGAGTTGTTTCCCTGACCTCTTTCATTGTAGGCCCAGATCTTGACTACTACCAGCATGGGGCTGAGGTAGGATGAAGTGTGTGTATGAAGGAGACCATTTCCTGGCCAGCCTCCTGGCTCTGGACTGACCGGGCAGGTGTCAGGGGAAGTTACCCCCACCCCTGCCAGTGAGATCATTTGTCCAGGAATATGAGTGAATTCCTATTCCGCTGAGTGTAGCCAAGGCCACCTATGTCTGGGCTGAAGCTGAGTCTCCTCAGCAAATGCCAAATAGAGAACTAAAGATTTACTTTCTCTAATTCAGTCCACAGACTTCAGAGAATCTCAGTGAATAGGGTTTTTCTTGGAGGAATTGCTGGAATTGAGTATACCTTTGTGAAGAAAGTTTGAGTTGCTATTGCTGGGGCTACCAGTGAGCCTCATTGCTCACTTCCCCTTGGAGTCCAGTTGGTAGTCTTGAGATGGCAAGGAGCAGGTAGGCTTCCTCCCTGAGCTATCTGGGTTTGCTAGAAAATGTCTTCTCCCTGGCTGAGCCACCTGACAGTGTTGATTCCCTGGTACCACCTTCTCTAAGCCCATGCCCACCAGATACACTCGTACAGCTGTCCCCTTCTTTCTTCTTCCCAGTATTATAGACTGAGGTCAAGGTCTGGAGCGACCGAGGTGCAGATGAGACTTGCTTCCAGATAAGAGTTGCTTTGGACTGTGAAATAAGTGTTTTTTTCTTCCCTTAAAACTGCATCTGGGGACTGGGGATATAGCTCAGTTGGTAGAATGCTTGCCTCACACGCACAAGGCTCTGGGTTCAAATCCCAGCACCACACACACACAAACAAAACAAAACAAACAAACAAAAAAACCCAACTGGATCTGGGAGCTGAATCTGGGCTGAGCTAGTGGTGTCAGGTTGATGACCGTCAACTTGACCTGGCGTTAAGTGTCGGGATGTGGCATTGCTCTCAGGTGCCGTCATCACCCATAGCCCTCATGGGCCCTTGTTATGCCCTGGAAGAAGCTTCAAGAGGTGATAGGTTGGGGGGCTGGGGTTGTGGCTCAGTGGTAGAGCACTTGCCTAGCAAGTGTGAGGCACTGGGTTCAATCCTCCGCACCACATAAAAATAAATAAATAAAATAAAGATATTGTGTCCATCTACAACATTATATATATGAAGAGGTGGTAGGTTGGGAGAGAGTAAAGTATGTGTGTGTGTGTGGCATGGAGAGCCCCACTCCCAGAACACAGCATCTGAAGGCTCCGTAAGCCAGCCTTCCTGATGGAGAGAGGAGTTGACCTGTGTCTCTGTATTTTATGAGGGGTTGACAAAAACCGCAGGGTCTAGGAACTCGACCAGTGAAATTAGCAAAATCTGTTGAGGCAGGGTTAGGATCAGAGAGCCTTGCCATGGTAGGAGGATGTCTATTTCCTGATGATGTCCTTCCATCCAGAAGAGGTGTTCCAGAGCAGGAGGCCCAGCAAGGAAAGCAGGCAGTGGAGACCTTGTGTGAGGAAGGACGGCCAAGCAGACCCGGAAGCGAAGCTAGACTACTTCCAGAGCTTCTTTGGCTGTCCTAGGCCTCAGTCCTAGGAAACAAACAAAAATCCAGTAAAATGCTTGACCAAATGGAACAGTCCACCTACTCCAGTCAGCTCCCTCCAGTGGGCCCATAGGGGAAGCCCATAAAATCCAGGTATTCTGGTGGTGGCTTTTTTCTTTATCCAAGCTCCTTCGTGATGGGGGCTTTCACACTTTGAGGGAACCCCCCTGACACTCATCACCAGTGCCAACAGCCACCAAGTCAGGGCCAGTCTCAACTCCTCCAACCCCCACTGCCTGCCAGCACTGGGCCATCTAGAAGAGAGTCCAGCATCCTAGTCTTTCCATCCACAAACATTTCTGTGCACATATCTAAAGATAAGGGCTTTGGAAAAACGGAACTAAATGCCACTATCACACCTGTGAAAAATCAAATTTCCTTCATCTCATCAGATACTTGGTTAATGTCCCCATTCCCCTACTTATCTTCTAGTTTTTGTTTATAGTTTGTCTGAATTAGGATATAGATTGAATTGTGACAGTTAGTCTATCTGCCGTGGTGATGGTGGCAGTTGTCATTGTCATTGTCCTTGTGGTCGTGATCCTCCTTGGTCTTGTTTTCTTTTCTGGCAGTTTTGCAGTTGAAGGGACTACGTCATTTGTCCTGTAGAGTTTCCCTGTCTGGTCTCTGCAGGCTGTGCTGCCCTGGGTGGTTCAGCATGTGGCTCTGAAAGGAAATTCTGCCTTCATCCGGGCTTCCAGGTCCTGGGACCACTGGGCTTGGCCTTACCTGTCACGGGAAATGGGTTAGCATCTGTGGATTTGCTAAGTGACCTTTTTCAAGTGTGGATTCACTCTCTTGGTGTTAGCTCTCTGCTCTAGGGTTTGGGGATTAGTAGTGAGCACTAGTTTTCAGGTCCAGTGGGGGGCTTCTCATCTACGTCCTTCCCTAGTGGTAGAGGGTATTGTTTGGCAGTGTCCACCCTGCTAAGACAGTACCAGGATGCCCCACAAGCCTTTGGTGGACTCTCAGCCTCTCTGGAAGCCCTGGTGTGAGTGTGCAGGAGGGGCCGCAGGAGTGCAAGTGCATTCTCAGGGTCCACCCATATCCATCACCTCCTTTTTCAAGGCCCCAAAGTGCTGCTGGTCTCTCTTTGAGGCAGCGCCATCTGGTGCCAGGGTTTGTAAAGACCGCAGGGCTTAGGAACTCGGATCAGTGAAATTAGCAAAATCTGTGGATCATCCTTTAACCCCATGTAGGGTCCCCCTTAGAATATCCTGTAAGCAGAGTCTGTCTTTGTTAGCTTTGGTGGTTGTAAAATTCTCTTGTTCATCTAGTTCAAAGAATGGCTCCAGGATTAAACCAGACATAGATACAGATCCTGGCACCTAGCAGGCAAGTAGGAATAGCAGCTGCTTTGAGTTCAGGGTCCTTCCCTGTCACCTTCACT